GAGATCTACCTGAGCTCAAACTCCCCTCTCGCCTTCAACGGGAGGGAGCCCAGGGAGGGAGCCGAGGATCTTATAAGCTCAGGGCTCTCTCCCGGGACAGCACACCAAACTAGCTTTACTATCAATCATCAGCTAGGTGTGAACTCTTGAAAAAGTAATTTAATGCCCTGCTACATTTGTAATTTCATATACACAATCATTCATTTTCTTGTCGGCTTAGTCCCTTTATTAATCCGGGGTTGCCACAGTGGAATGAACCGCCAACTTATCCAGCAAATTTTTACGCAGCGGATGCCCTTCCAGCAACCCATCTCTGGGAAACATCCACACACACATTCACACACACACTCATACACTACGGACAATTTAGCCTACCCAATTCAACTGTACCGCATGTCTTTGGGGGAAACCAGAGCACCCGGAGGAAACCCACGCAAAGGCAGGGAGAACATGCAAACTCCACACAGAAACATCAACTGAGCCTAGGTTCGAACCAGCAACCCAGTGACCTTCTTGCTGTAAGGCCACTGCCTCGACCATAACCACAATCATTATAAAGATAATCGTGTTCAAATAAACACTATAAATGAGGACTTTTCTATTAATCCCCATGTCTGAATGCAGACTGAGTGCAGCAGGTCTCTTGCCCTGTCTATTTTAACTATTAGCCCTGCTGGTAATCGTGAGGATTTAGGTGAACACAGCAGCCTGTGATGTGTCTGAATATGCACGAACTTTGGATAAAGTACAACGTCCGCCATTCTCCAATTCTCGAACTGCTCTCCCGACAAAAATGCTTGCAGCACACACACCTTTGCTGTATCGGCCCTGACAGGATCGCTGGGGAAAACATGCAACAAACCCTGTGGATCATGGAAGCAAACACATACAACCCTTCATGAACGGCTAAATACTGTGTGCCGTGGGTCCGTGGACACGTCTCACCCAGTCATCAATGTAGGATTTCACAGCTGGGAAATGGCAGCCAGGTCTGCTTTGCTTTCGGAAAGCATGTGCTCTCATGAATGATTGAGAAGCCGGCTCTTCTCATAGTAATAATAATGAAAAACTGACCCGTCATCTTTGAACTCGCAGTTCTGCGCTACGTCACTGATTTTGTTCCCACCCCAATAATAATTGTATACCCGGAAGCTGAAATTAGCTGACAAAAGCTCAAAATTATCCAGGTTTCCCCACAGTTAATGCTAACAGGTGCTAACATTGTCTTAACTGATGCTCAACATACACAAATCTGTTAAAATCTCAAAAAAAGTACTTGAGAGTTTCGTGAACCTTTAAAATATTTTTCACCAGTAAATTGCAATGTAGCTTTGAGTATGTTGAGTCAAACTGAAGGTTCAGAACAGTTTGATTCAACTAGTCTGAATGCTGAACTAATGCATTAAAATAATCTGATTCAAAAGAACAATTCGTTTATCAATCAAATATTTCTCCAAACTTGCCAGAGATCTGGACTATGAACGTTCATGTTGTTCATCTTAGTTCATTTTATCCCCCGGACAACCAAAAAAAAATAGACAAATTTGTAATCCGTCCTCCTTCAGCAGCTAATAGTAATGACCCAAGCATACTGGACTAAGGTGAGGAAGCTCCAAACATGTTGTGTCACATCGCTGGCAATACTGGAAACACGAAATGCAAGAAATACCAATATAGTATATCTGAACTATAGTTTTATTCCATTTTCTCAAAGCAAAGAGTCATTGACCCAACCACAGTGCATTGTCGGCTCCAAAGTTCTTGCTAACAAATGTGTGAGGCCGTCCAAATTAATAAGACATTTGCAAAAAAACTCATCCCAATACTGCAAGGTATACTAATGTTTTGCTTTTATACTTTACAAGAGGCTATTATTTGTGCATAAACATATCTAGATACAGTAATAAACATACCATTTGTATGAAAACAACATTTTTTTGACATACCTACAGCAAACTTACATCAGGGATAATATCATTAAATGTGGAGGGGGCACTTACAATAGGGGGTCTCAGGCGAAAAGGGTTGGGAACGACTGATGTAGAATTTCAGTAAAAAAAATGACTTCATTTTTGGTCTGTTGTTCACATCGAGCATGTTATAATTCACTGTGGATAAAACACTTATTTTTTTCGATTGTAATTTTTCTACTACTGTAGGAAATTTGCTTTATTTTGTCGAAACTTTAAAATATTTAAGTTAATCAGCTCTTAAGTCACTCACCCACTTTCCTTATAGGCTTATTCCCTCCTACCAGGGGTCGGAGAATAAACTGTAGCTATAACGTTTTTAGAAAAATATCTTGGTTTCAGTTTGCAAATAAACATTGCCATGAATATAGCCGTAGAAGCTTAGCTAGGCATTAAATTAAAAAAAAAAAGAAATAGGTATTGGGGTATAGCAGAGATTTTATGAAAAGAGCTGAGCTTCAGTCTCTCAAACAGTAAAGCATGACTGTAGCAACATAAAGAACTTTGGTAACATATTATCTGTTAAGCATTAACTACATTAGCAGATGTTTGTGAGCAGTTTGTAACTGCAGATACAAATGCTCTATTCTTGACTTATAAGCAAATATATGAGGTTCTTAATGATTGTATTTTCATACTTTGTTAATTATTATTATTTTGATTACTAAATGAAGTATTGCATCATTTACAAAGCAGTTATTTGAGATAAGTTGCTGGTTTTTAAAGAGTACTTAGAATGTCTAAGTAAATGATTAAAAAACTTTTCAAATTTACATTTTTATGTTATTGTTATTCAGGCATATATTAATAGTTAATTTGTATGTTTGATAAATGCTTTAAGTCAACTTCATCCAGTTTTGTCACCTAATCTAAAGTGAGGACTATTTATACTTCATAAATCCCTTATAAATGACAATTAAAGGTTCAGTTTAATTATAAACAGAAAAAAAAGAAAACAAATGAATTTATTCATCTCTATTCATTTGAAGTAATTTCTATTCATTTGAAGTAGTAATTAATTTAAAAAAAGTACTGTACAGTTTAAATGTCGCTAAATAACATTGAAATGTTGTATCATAATATGTTTTTAAATTATTATATTGTTGTTGTTTTATCTGACTTTGTTATATTTTGACACTGCTGTTATTCAGCAATGTTTAAACTTTACAGTAATTTTACTTCTTAAATAAGCTTGCAAAGACGTATTGTTCTTTTGATACTGAGCCTTTAATTTTCATGTATTAGGGAATTATGAAACATAAATAGTCCTCACTTTAGATTAAATCACAAAACTGGATGAAGCTGACAAAAATTATCATATAAATGAACTATTAATATTTGCCTAAATAATAAAAATGTTACTTTGAATAATTTATTAATAATTTACTAACTCATTCTGAATGAACTTAACACCCCCAAACTATTAAATACAAGTGATTTGTAAATAATGCGATTTGTAATTTAGTCATGAAAAATGAATTAGTAACAGAGTATGAAAGTACAGTTATTAAGCACATTTTAAATGTAAATTTAAAAAGTCAAGATTAGAGGATTTGTATCTGCAGTTATAAACTGCTTACTAAAGTCTATTAATGCAGAGTTAATGCTTAACAAATAAGGAATTCACTATTTTGTAATGGTCAATAAATGATCTACAGTGTGTAATAATTGATGTGTTACAACAACTTTTTACGGCAACATGGTGGATGAGCTGCTTTTACACACAAAGACACATTCTGCACTGCTGCAGTCTTTTCCTGCCTAACTCTGGTGACTGGCACTTCTAGATTGACTGTATTTTTTGTTGGAGTGCATGAACCAAACATAAACCAAACCATGACAGTTTGGGATGAATACTTGTATCGTTACACTCCAACAAAAAATGTGTCATAGTTTTCGAAAACCTCAGTTTTTCAGTTCACTCTGCGATTCGAAAATGATGTTTTCAAACCTTTCCAATCTGGAGAGCATTTTCAAAAAGAAATAGAAACATAGTTTTAATGTCGATGGAAGGCCAAAACAGAGAAAAATATCACATTTTAAACAAAAACATATTCACCAGCATGGACCACACCACACTTTGAGCAAGACTTTATTGTAGGGATGTAGGGATGAAGGTATGGTAAGAGAACAGTGGGATGAAGGGAAAGAGAAGTAAGAAACAGTGAACAGGTAGGTCGGTTGATCGGGCATCCTACGATAATGCCCAGAGACTCAGAGTGGGGGTACCGTCTCTAATACTTTGGTAGAGTGATTGGACCCCTCGATTCAGCCAAAGAGTGAAGAGAGGGTTGTGAATGGGAAACGAGGAAATAGAGGGAGGGTGGGTTCGAAAGAATGAGAAGAACAGTGCTAATGGTCTGCATTAAGTTTTAGGGAGTAGGTGATTGGTTATGGAGACAAAGTGAGGCGTGAGGGCCGAACTCAATGTTCAGTGGCGTGAGGGAGGAACTAAATGTTAACTCCATTTAGTGTGAACATGACCTGAATCAAATCTTCATTGTACTATGAAAACATCCTGTAAGTTTTAAAATTCTGAAAATTTTGGAAATAACTAAACTTTGCCATGAATATAGACAGAGAAGCTGACATGGCATTAAAAAATATATATATATGTCCTAGAGTATAGCTCAAATTTGATTTGTCTCTGGTGTCTCAAATGGTAGAGCACGTCTCCAGCAACATAAAGAATTGATTTATTGCTTATGACCCAAATTGAACCACACTGAACACCTATGGGATGAACTGGAATGCTGAATGTGTGCCAGACCCCACTGGCCAAATTCAGTCCCTGACCCCGCTAATGCTCTTCTGTCTGAATGGAAGCAAATCCCTTCAGCCATGTTCCAGCATCCATCAGAAAGCCTTCCCAGAAGAGCACAGGCTGTTAGGGAGGGCCATTAATGCCAGTGGTTTTGAAATTAAATGCTCAACAAGCACGGCGGGAGTTTGGTGGTTCATGTATATTATAAGATGATGGGCATTTTCTGTGTCAAACCCAATATGACTCTTGCTTTGTTTTTCTCACAGGTTTGCATATAGCAGGTGCGATGCTGGCTCTGCTCAGTTTGTTCATGATGGTCATGGGCTCGGTGTGTATCACTATGTCTATCAGTAAGAGCGTGCCCTTCTTCCTCAAGCCGGCTACCATCTGCTTCGTCTGCTCAGGTACCTGTTAAACACCACTTGACTGCATTCAGCTACTTGAAAACACACCAGCACCATTCGTCAAGAGTAAATCTAAAGTTTAAAGAGGACTCTCAACTTGACAGGGGCATCCTGTGAGTCAGTGTTTTAGATCAAAGGTGCAATTCCATTGGTATAAGCACACTGTGTCCGATTGCTGAGATTCTGAGCTTAAACTATAATCATCTCAATAAAACTACAGCCAGCCTTATTTAGTGTCACTTCACAAGTCATGTGTAACTACTTTTGTTTAATGTGTTTTAGGCTTACCAAAAGAAAACATGGCTGAAACTTAAGCCTAAGAACAAATTTAAATGCATTTTTTACTATCTGTAAATATTACAAATCATGAGCATTTATTGTTGCAGAAAATCCTAATGCTGTTAGGGTTAGGGTGACCACGTGACAGTGACCAGTGACCAATTCTAAAAAAGTTAGTAGGGATGCACCAAAATAGACCAAACCAAAAATTCTGGATGTACTTGGCTGGAAAATGAAACTGAAAACAACATTTTATTGACATTAAAACAATATTGACAGTGAAAAAGCTGAGATGCATAGTTTTATCAAAATTGCCATGGCAGCATAGTATTACTTTAGCAAACAGCAGGAACAAGAATACTACATAGAAATTAATATTTGAGTAAACTTTGCTTTTGCAACGAGCATGTTTGATTTATCAGTAGTTAGAAATGTATACAGTTACATGAGCAGAGCAGAATATTGAGTTATTTTGACTGCTGCAGTTGAGCTTTGGTCTGTGCATTACAATCCTTCCTTGAAATGAATGGGTTTCATAACACAGTGCTTTGTGCATCTGGTGTGAAAGCATGGCGGTCTCCCAAGTTTGTCCTTCCGAGGTATCTTGGTAAGTCCATTCACAGCTTTCTTGGAATTGAGAAACAGCCCATGCCTCCTAAACCAAACACACCTGATTCAGATCATCAGCTCATTAGCAGAGACTGAAAGACTCGTAATAGGTGTGGTAGATAGAGGAGACATATAACACATGTAGTGTTGGTGGTCTTCCAGGAATGTGGTCAAGGAACAATATAGTAGAGCATGACTCTAGCAACACACACACACACATATATATATATATATATATATATATATATATATATATATATATATATATATATATGTATGTGTTGGCTAATATGGCAGCATGGTGGATGAGGCACTTTTTATTAATAATCCACCATTGTCTGGCGCAAGCAGTTGAAATGAATGGGTTTCAATGCACAGTGCTTTCTGCATCTGGTGTGAAAGCTAAGCAGGCATTCAATCCGTATCTACCCCAACCAAAAACCATTGATCAATGTCGAAGTTTGAACAGCCCTATCAGTGCAAACCTCCGCCTATAAATCTAGAAATGCTGTGGAACAAAAATAAGCTAAATAAAACCTCAGAAAAACCATCAAAGCAGCAAAACATCAATACAGAGACAAGGTTGTGGGTCAATTTAACACCAATAACGCAAGGAGCATGTGGCACGGACTTAATTACATCACAGACTTTAAAAGTAACAGACCCGCCACTGTAAACATTGCTACGCTCTCCCGGACGAGCTCAACTTGTTCTACGCCCGCTTTGAAGCCCAGGACAGAGGGCACACACTGTGCGCTCCGGTGGCCGATTCCAAAACCGCCCTGTACTCCCTGTACACAAATGATTGTACAGCCAAATACAGCTCCAACGTCATCGTTAAATTTGCTGATGACACAATGGTGGTGGGCCTAAATACCAATAATGATGAGACGGCCTACAGAGAGGAGGTGCACACTCTGACGCAGTAGTGTGAGGAAAACCACCTCTCACTCAACAACAGCAAAACCACGGAGCTGGTGGTGGATTTGAGGAGAGAAAAGAAAGAACACACCCCCATCACCATTAACGGGACACTAGTAGAGAGAGTCAGCACTTTCAAGTTTCTTGAAGTCCACATCGCTGAGGATTTGATATGGACTGCTCACACAGACGCAGTTCTGTGGAAGGCACAACAACGCCTCTTCTTCCTCAGGCGTTTCAGGAGGTTTGGAATGAGCCCCCACATCCTACGCTCGTTCTACACCTGCACTGTGGAGAGCATCCTGACTGGCTGTGTCACCACCTGGTATGGAAACAGCACCAGCAGCAATCGCAAAGGCCTACATAGGATTGTGCAAACTGCTGGACACGTAGTTGAAGGTGAGCTTCCCTCCCTCCAGTACATCTACACTAGACGGTGCATGAGGAAAGCCAAGAGAATCATCAGCGACTCCAGCCACCTAAGCCATAGACTAGACCGGTCACGCACCAGCCGACTGAAGAAAAGCTTCTTCTCTCAGACTATCAGGCTGATGAACACCTAACACACCTCACACAGACTCTTCCATATCCCTCACTGCACACCATCAATATGTAACATGCACTGCACTTTAACCAACCCATACTTAAAACAAGACTGGCTACAACTATGGGTACACCTATTCATTGTACATATCACTGTCAACACTGCCAATTTTACATCGTTTTGTTTTTTGGGAGTAAGCTGCTGTATTTTGCACTGTCGTTGTATTTGCACTGTCTGCATTTTGCACTGTCTGGAACCAGCACCTAAGCTTTTCACATGGCAGCAACTCGATTCATTTAGGCATGTAGATAGTCAAAATGATCTGCTGCAGTTCAAACTGAGCATAAGAGTGGGGAAAAAAGTGACTTTAAACAAGGCAGGGTTGTTGAATCCAAACGGACTGGTATGAGTATTTCAGAAACTACTCCAGTAGAAATCTACTGGATTTTTCACACACAACCATCTCTAGGGTTTACAGAGAATGGTTTGAAAAACAGAAAATATCCTGAGAGTGGCAGTTCTGTGGGCGCAAATGCCTTGTTGATGCCAGAGGTCAGAAAAGAATGCCCAGACTTGTTCGAGCTGATAAAGGCAACAGTAACTCAAATAACCACTCGTTACAACTAAGGTATGCAGAAGAATATCTTTGAATGCACAACATATTGACCTTGAGGCGAATTGGCTACAGCAGCAGAAGACCACACTGGGTGCCACTCATGTCAGCTAAGAACATGAAACAATTCAGAGGCTCACCAAAATTGGACAACAGAAGATTGGAAAAACGTTGCCTTGTCTGATGAGTCTCGATTTCCGCTACATTTGGAGGGTTCGTTTAGAATTTAGCTTCAACAACATGAAAGCATGGATCCATCCATCAAAAGTTCAGGGTGGTGGTGTAATGGTGTGGGGGATATTTTCTTGGCACACTTTGGGCCCATTAGTACTAATTGAGCATTGTGTCAAAGCCACAGCCTACCTCAGTATTTTTGCTGACCATGTCCATCCCTTTATGACCACAGTGTACCCATCTTCTGATGGCTACTTCTACAGGATAACGCACAAATGTGTCATGTGTCATAAAGCCCAAATCATTTCCAACTGATTTCTTGAACATGACAATGAGTTCACTGTACTCAAATGGCCTCCAGTCACCAGATCTCAATCCAATAGAGCACCTTTGGGATGTGGTGGAACGGAAGGTTCAAATCATGGATGGACTGACAAATTTGCAACAACTGAGTGATGCTTTCATGTCAATATGGAATATGGGTTATTTGTTTTCATAAGTTGTTGTATTACTATAGCTAAAATAGTATTACTAGAACAGATCCATTCAAGTACTTTACTATAGTATGGATCAAAACACAATAGTATATACTATAAATTACTATTTTATTTAAATTTACTATCTAAGTGAAGTTTATTTATAAACTAATTACGAGAGGATCATGTGATTATGATTGAACACGGCTGGTTCGCATTAGCTACGTTGATCCACCAGTGAGGCCAGTCCTAACCCACTATAAAGAGCCAGGGTTTTTCACTACAGCCATCTTCGACTTGAAGAATCACCCCTTCCACCCCTTACTTCTCCACCTTTCCCTTCATATGGAGGCACGGTGGCCCAGTGGTTAGCACTGTTGCCTCACTGCAAGAACCTCACTGGATCTATTCCTTTAACAGGCCGGCGGTCATTTCTGTGCGTAGTTTGCATGTTCTTCCCGTGCTCGCGTGGGTTTTCCCCGGGTTCTCCGGTTTCCTCCCACATTCCAAAAACATGCACTACAAGTGAATTGATCAATCTAAATTTAGCACTACAGTCAAACTCTCATCCTGCAGCATATCTCTTAATAGCATTCATTTTAGTCATCACCTCTTATCAAGGGGGGAGTTGTCGAGATCTACCTGAGCTCAAAGTTCCCCTCTCGCCTTGCAATAGGGGGGGAGCTCAGGGCTCAAGGACCTTTTGGGGTAAGGGCTCTCTCCCGGGACAGCATGCCAAACTTGCTGTTAATTAATTATCAGCTAAATGTGAACTCTTGAAATTATAATTTGTATTTTTTCTTGCACAGACTTTTCTAAAACTCCCAAATGAACTCAAATGATTAAGTTTAAAGCCCCATCAAATTTGCCTAAAATCTAGTGCGCCTTTAGGAGAAAGATCACCCAAAAATTGGAAATCTGTCATCATTTACTTACATTTTACAAACCTTTATGACCCTCTTTCTTCTGTTAACAAATGAGGATATATTTTGAAGAACGCTGAAATCCTGTAACCATTGACTTATATGTGTTTTTCCTACTGCGGAATTCAATGATTACAGGTTTTCAGCTTTCTTCAAAATATCTTCTTTTGTGTTCACAATAAGAAATAAACTCATTAAGGTTTGAAACCACATGAGGGTGAACTAAGGCTATTTTACACCTGCTGTAACACTCTTTTGTCCTCTTTACTGATTTCTTTTAAAAGAGGGTCAATGTATGGGTGTATTGATATTTTTGATTGTCCTGTCTAATAGCATTCTTAATGCCATCCTACATTATTTAGCCACTTTTTAAAAGTATTGTTTCAGGCACTGTTTTAAAAGTATTGATTTGTCACTTGTATCATAAAAAAATCTAATGATACTTAGCATATGAGATTTGATTTATTCTAATGCCATTCAAAACGCATCAATATTATGCTACAAATGCAGTCAGGATCACTAAAATCATAATCTGGAACTACAGACCATTTCAATGTAGTGATGTCATTGGCCCAAGAACATTTCCTGCTTGTTGTCAAACTATTTCATAACTGCAAAAAGAGGGAATTCAACCATAACTCAACATTAAAACAGCTATCATAACATTATTCATCAATATGTAAACTTTTTTGGATTCTCGGAAGCTATGGAAATGAGAAAATTAAAACAGGAATCACATTAGGACTATTGTTATTGTTTACAACCCTCAAAATGGTCTATATTATATCAAATGCCATCTAATTGTATGCATATGTTCAAATGAAATGACCTCTGATGTCCACTTTCCGCAGGTATCCTGGTCCTGTTGTCAATCATAGTGTTCCACCAGTCTATCCTGGCGCTATTGGCAAGCGATCACAGTATCCCTCTCCATCACGAGTTGTCCTGGTCGGTGGCGTGTGTTGGCTCGTCTGGGGCCATTCTCATTATTGGAGGGCTTATTTTCCTGTTGCTTTCCCTCCCCTACAACCCTCTGGAGAAATGTTTTCGTCAGCAGAGCAGTAGCGATGCCTAGCTGTCAGTGAGCTAAGTAGCACACAATCTTTTATACTATTATACAGAGATTATCTGATGTTATTAAGGACTCTCAAAAGCTAATGATCCGCCGTATCCTGCATTAGAATTGCTCATTAGTAACATTATAGACCTTAATGCACATGCTTACACCGACTCTGAAATTTGAGCTGATCTTTCTACGGTGGCTCTGTACATAAAATCAGTGACCAACTCGATCTGTTTACTGTCTTTAAAGGCTTAATTTACACAACATGCTGTGCTTTTATGCGTTGTTCATTTATTTGCATTGCTGATTTGTATAAAAAAGAAAGCAGATTTGATTACTTGTCTTGTAAAACTGACTGAAGGCCCCTGAAAATGAATTTGTTTCTGAAAACGAAAAAAAAAAGTCACTTTATTTTAGTGGTCTGTTTGTTGAATTTAAGTTACACTGCATCCACATGCCAACTAATACTCATTAGATTAAAAGTGGACTGTTAGGTTGTGGTTAGAGTTAGTGTAAGTTCACATGTACTTGCAAAGTTTCTTATAGTCACTTAAATGTCTGTTGAAGGAGCAGTATCAACAGATATTAAGCAGACAGTCTATTAATCAAATGGACCATCAAAATAAAGTGTTACCAAAAATAACTTCTAGGCTAAAGGTTCGTTCACACCTAGAATGAATAACTATAAAAATAAACACACAAAATTGTCCATATAAGTGCACAACAGCATTGTTTAGCATATTTATCATAGATTAGCAGGCTGCAGTTGCTTTACATTTTTATTGTCAAGTAGTTGGATAGATGTTGTTTGGCAGTTAATGTTTTTATCGCTCATCAGCTGGAAAAAAAGCATTTTAGCAATTCATTTTAATAGTTCTGTTTTGTTGCTTTGTTATAACTGTGATGTAATAACCGATTTAACTGTACAATTTTTGTTTTGACAGTTCTTGGCTCTTAGGTCCTATAACAAGAACAATAACTACAACAACAACTGAATCTGTGTCCACAGCAATATGCAAAGTGCAAAGTGTTTTATTCTCCACTTTATGCTGCAGCACTTAAAGGTTAAGTGAATTCTGATTGGATGTCAAAAGCCTTGAAATTAACATAAGGCACTAGGCCCTTGGAATGTCAGTGTTGTTGGCAAATTTCCTTCTTTATACTACGTTGGTAACTTAAAAATAATTAATAATAGAAAATATTTTAAAATAATGGGCAGCACGGTAGCTCAATGGTTAGCACTGTCACCTCACAGCAAGAAGATCGCTGGTTTGAGTCCCAACTGGGCCAATTGGCATTTCTGTGTAAAGTTTGCATGTTCACCCCACGCTGACGTGGGTTTCCTCCGGGTGCTCCGGTTTCCCTCACAGTACAAAGACATGTGCAGTAGGTGAGTTGAATTAACTAAATTGGACATGTGTGATTGAGTATATGGGTGTTTCCCAGCACAGGGTTGCAGCTGGAAAGGCATTCGCTGTGCAAAACATATGCTGCAATAGTTGGGAGTTTATTTTGCTCTGGCAACCCTTGATAAATAAGGGAGTCAGCTGAAGGAAAGTTAATTAATTAATTTAAAATTCACAGAAAATTCAAAGTGGACTTAAATATGTAATGTAAAACACTGCCAAGTCTTACAGAAGCCTTATTAACATTATAAAAGTGTAAAACAGTTATTTTTGATCTTTTGTTGTTTGATTAACAGCTAATGTCATTTTAACAGCTAATGCTCAAACCCAATATACTTCTGTATGTACTAATGCTTTGTTTCCACTGAGCAGTGTGCTTCAGTATGGTTCAGTACTAGTCACCCAGATCAGGCTAGTGTTTCCACATCCAACAGCACCCTTAAGGCTGATTTATACTTCTGCGTCAAACGCTGGCGTATGCTACGGCGCTGATACATAGCCCTTTGACGTGGCCGTCGGCGTCGCTGATGTGCACCTCTCAAAAAATGTAACTACACGTCGCAACGACGCGTAGCGCAAGCTCTGTGATTGGTCGGCTTGGTAGCGCTGACGAGTCTGGGCGGGACCGAGAGCCGCGTGAATGGTGCGAGCCTGATGGAGCAATTGTTTACAAGTGTGGAGTCCCGTGAAGGAGCTCCGGATGGAAAGTTTTGTTTAGTGTTTACCTCATATTTAAAGTTGTTAAATATGCCATGGGTTACGCCTGTCACTTGACGCAGAAGTATAAATCAGGCTTTACTTGGTAGATGTGGTGTACGCCAGAATTCTCGCTTGAAGAAAAAAGCTATAGGGCTGCTCACTTATTGCTTCTTGTGTGCATTCGAGTTTATTATTTCCAATTTAGATGTGCGGTAAACAATTGTAAAAAGAGGAGGCGGCACTTCTCACGATTTCCACATTTTGGGGCCGATCATATTAGGGTTGGGTCGATAAACAATGCCATCATCCATCGCCAATGGCCAATAGACATCACAATGCTGAGCCCTCGTCGCAGCAGCAACCCGCTCGCAAAAAATAAACACTTAAGCCCTGTTTACACTAATACATCTTAGTTTTAAAAGGGCATTTTAGAATGAAAACGATCCACGTCCATACAGGCGTTTCAGCCAGCATTTCTGAAAAGCCCTCCTTCCACACTGTACCGCTGAAAAGGCACATCTCGTGACCACACTCATACACACACAGGCATGTACTACAGCAAACGTGCACGTCTGAGTTCCAGCAGTCAGCTGTGCTTTGAGCACAAAATCCCAGAGGGCAGTGCACGTTGGACAGTTTATCAAGAATGTGCCACTGGATTGCGTCTCACTATATTTGTTAAACAAGATATTTAATTAATCTGGTCTCTATCTAGCGACTCTTCGGCCTTTTGAATCTGTCAGGTAACGTCTCACAGCGTCAGTACACTGCTTCAGTCTTTCGCTTTCACACGTGTGCTGAGTAATTTTAGTGAAAACCTCAGATACTGTTGGTTGGTTCCTGTTGGTTGTGCATCTTTTTTACCAACCAAGTTTGTCGATGCCATTATAACGACACAGATCCCTCTGCCTATTCATACCAGAGTCCTGCTGATAAAGTGATTGACAGGTGGTAATTTGTGTGTAACTTCTTTATTTATGCATAATTTGGCAGAGGTGCATCAGGTAGTGCTGTCACCTCACAGCAAGAAGGTTGCTGGGTCGCTGGTTCGAACCTCGGCTCAGTTGGTGTTTCTGTGTGGAGTTTGCATGTTCTCCCTTCATTCACGTGGGTTTCCCCCACAGTACAAAGACATGTGGTACAGGTGAATTGGGTAGTCTAAATTGTCTGTAGTGTATGAGTGTGTGTGTGGATGTTTCCCAGAGATGGGTTGCGACTGGAAGGGCATCCGCTGTGTAAAAATGTGCTGAATAAGTTGGCGGTTCATTCCACTGTGGTGATTAATATTGGGACTTTGCCGACAAGAAAATAAATGAATGAATGAATGAATAATTATTTATTTACTACAAAGAATTATTTGCTATGAATTAATTATTCATAAATAATTGATTCACCGCTGCCTGTGATGACGATGCCATCGTCCATCGTGATGTTTCACATTAGTACGATGCCAAATTGGTCGACATCCCCCAACCCTAGTTCACACATCGCGTCTTTTGTGTGCGCAAGTTTGTTATTTCGAATGGATGCACAAGAATTGTGCGCACCTATTAGGAGTGACATGCTCGCACTTTCCAGGTGCACCTAGTCGAAAACATCTCCATTTTTCAGAATGCCCTGCACTGCGAGCTGTGACAAGAACTGACTGATCAGCTTCATACTTTGTATGAAATATACACATTTGGGTAAACTAATTACGTCTGACAAACACACCCAAACAATGCAGTGCTTTTTAATTTTTTCTCCATAAAGAAAACTTGTATCGATACTTCAAAAAATGGTTGATGGTCGCCTAACAATGACAAATGACATAACAAGCGCAAAGCGTGTTGAAAATGGTGAAGAAAGTGACGTGCTAGCACTTTCCGCGTACTTTCAGACGTGATATGTGAACGGCCTCTTACATAGATGCAATTTGTGAACAGCCTTGCAAACAACAATAGAGGACATGCAACAGATCCTATTCTTGCTTCTTGGTATGTGGCTGTTTGTCATAAGATGACGACAAGCTTTGATTGAGCTTGAGTCGACCTTTGCTGCAGAGTTATTGTAATATTACTGTTTCACATTTTGGCTGTTTTTGTTTTTTGTTTTTTAATGGAGATTTCTGTGTTGTAATTTCTTTGTTTTGTCACAACCTCTGCTGATGATTCTCTGTAAACCAATAGTGTCCAGCAGAGAGTCTAGCTCCACTTTTGGTACCATACTATTGTGCTAGTTACACCTAGGAAAGTGCCAAAAAAAAGTGAAAGTGGTAATGGAAAGAAATGTGGACTGTAATGAGCTGTATAGCAGTGGTCCTCAACCACCAAGCAGCGGACCGGTACTGGTTTTTGGATTTATTGGTACCGGGCCACAAAACAAATCATTAATTATTTTCATTGTATTTATTATCCGAGTCTTTTATTTAAAAAAATCTTTTATCTTGAAAAATGACCGTATTTTCAGTGTTGCCAACTTAGCGACTTTGTTGCTAGATATAGCGACTTTTCAGACCCCCCTAGCGACAAATTTTCAAAAAAGTGACTAGCGACAAATCTATCGACTTTTTGTGTGTTACTGGAGATTTTTATAGACAGTCCATACGGTACCGTTTCTACACTTCTCAACAAGCTGCGGGTGATGCTGCCGGCCCCTCCCTCACCTCAGAGCACTGACAGGCGGCCCAGTCCTCGTACAGCAGCCTATCCCACCTGCAGCCCTAGAGCAGATCTCTCCTCTGCGTATCGACGGCAAATGATTTAGCACCAGCAGTGTTAGGACATTTCACCTTGTACAGTCAAACCGATCTGCTTCTCCTTTATTTTAACAATTTAATTTGATTTTTTCTTCTTATTCGCAATCACAGATATTTTTAGTGAGAGTTTCAGAAGTTGGCTGAGGTTATTACATCTGAGAGACTGCTGCAAATTCACTACACATCAAGTAGTACACAAAGCGTAGTGCAAATATAAATAGCCCTTTATTAACCATAGCCATGTTATGTGATGATGTTATTAATATGCAAATTAACGTATGATGTAATCTAGCGACTTTTAGCGACTTTTCGGGAAGAGCTTAGGGCCTTTTCATTGAAAATAGTTTGCAACATTGCGTATCCTCTTACTTACATCTCAGTCACTTGAGCGCCTAAATTTAACCCGCAAGCATCAAAATAAG